TTCGTTTTTCCATATGTCATCGTTGATAACAGGTTGCGACAAGTCTGCAGCTTTCTCTGCTAAGGCTACTAAAGTATTCTTTAAAATCAACGGAATACCTCCTGTCTTCTTTTTTAATAATTCTGCGAATCGATGTTGCAAGCCATCTGAGGGCAATAACCAGTCCTTCAAGGTCTTTCCACTATAAATTGCCAGCTCAAGATATTCATTAATATCGTTGAGGTTAAAAGGATTCAATCGCAACATATCGAGGCTCATGCTACTGGAGCGAGCATCAGACATGCGGGCTGAGATTTGAGATGTCCTGCCTGCCAAATAGACGATTACCTTCCCTGTCATCAACAAATCACGTAAAAAGCGGAAAAAATTCCGGAAAGGTACATATTCTGCATCGGGCTCGATAAATTGTTTCATGGTAAGTTCACTATAGTATGTGGTGAGGTCACTCAGGTGGCTAAGTTCGTCTATCATCAAAAATAAATATCGTTTCTGAAATTGTTCGAGAAGCCAATTAATAGCTCCTACAATATCAAAATTCTTTACCGTCCTTTCAGCTATCTGAAGAGCGTCCGCATCTTTACCATTTTGTCGGTAAGCGTTCAAAACAATATTATACATCAAAGCCTCTAGAAAACTTGGAAAAGGAGCATCAGAAAAGCTCTCTCCTAGTTCTAAGACAACTGACAAAGTGTTTTCCGCAAAGTGTTTCCAAGAAAAAATCTTCAAATCAACTTTTCCCGATGAGCTCTTGTTGAAAACCTCCGTCTTCGTCTGCTCTTCTTCTTCGTCGGCGAATTTTTTTAAAAACTCTAAAAAATTTTCACCAACAAAACTCTTGCCAGCCCCAAAAATATGAGGAGAAAAACAAGCTGAAGGGCGTATGTTAAAGTTTCCCCCAACTGGAGAAAACTGGTGCAAATAAGTTAGAAGAATAAAGTAAACATCTTCTTTTCTATCTATTAACGGTACTTTTGTCATTCCAGGCAAACTTATGCGTATCTCTTGACTAGCCATTTTCCACGCCGCCGCAATCCAAAATCAATGAATGAGTGATGATGAGAAAAGGGTGATGAAAGCGATGACCTAAAAGCTTTCAAAGGAGCCGAGAACAAAACACTTGGAGGAGGACAAAGGAGTTGGAAAGAGTGTATGTTTTATTGTTCGAGCGGTTGCTTTATTTGGTGATTGGTAGAACTGATCTCGTTGACACTTCTAGACGTACAATGACAATGGAGAGAAAGCAGGAATATTTTCTTGCTTGTCATAACTAGAAACTTTCTTTTATTATATACAGGAAATAGGTTTCTATGAGTTTTTGTGGTGAATTAGATTGACTAATATTCTTTCGACGTCTTTTATACTGTAAGGGAGTTGTTCTACTATCTTCCATACCATCCTACAAGTAAAACTCCTATATACATGTCGAATAAGATACAAACCTTTTGTAAGTTACAGACGAAAGATAGTGGGAAACAGAGAATTGCAATGAATGGGAAGTCTGTTAATGTGCAACCGTTCGTAGCAGAGTTTATAAATACAAAAATATCTAATTGAATTTGGAGAAGAGTATGATGAAGATTGTCATACTGACTTATCATTAAATACAAGCCATTATTGATGTAATAGCTACACAAGTTGTCTATCCTTTGTTCGATTTTAAAAAGTTGTGAATATGTCTTATATAAGGACATCAATTAAGGCTTCAAATGTAGTCACTATAATCGTTCATTTTCTGCACATCGATGCTGAAAAAAGAGCAAAAGACTGAGCCAAAAAATTGTTTTGCTAAAGAAGAAGCCTTTTATACTTGAGTCAAGGTCGAGTAGTGTACCAACTTGAAAGCTTCAGCAATTCTCCAACTGAAAGCCACTCCATATTGAAGAACTTTTACCCAACATGACTCTTGGCTGAAAGACGTTGTAGTTCCTAAGTTATCGGTCAAGTGATTGTTGTGGAATGACAATACTTCAAGATTGGATATGGTTTCCTTTGACTAATTAGAAACAATTCTGTTCCACTCTCAAAGTTGTCCTTTGCAATGCAATATAAATAGAACTCCTCTGTAAATAGTAACTGTCTGAAATAGAAACTTCTTATCTCAGTGTGCCAAATGGATAGATTCATTTAAGATGTCTCTTGTACTATCAATAATCAAACGAAATTTTTTATATCGAATATCATCTTTGCAACCGGGTTACTTTCCCTATCTAAGAGTCGGTGAGTTTTCAGTCTAATTCACTAAAACAGAGTTTGAATATATAGTCTCGTGAATACTTTTGAGATAAGTTTGAATTGCAAACCAAAATACTTTTTTTAGTATTTCTTCTTACCTTTGCTATATTTTCTCTTGGATCCAACAAGTTTCATATTTGTAGGAGCCATTCATATGAATTCCAAGGCTAGAAATGCAGTTTGAAAAAAACACATAAAAACGAAAGGAATCTAAACTTTTATCGAATTTCAAGAAGCTAAAACTCTTTTTAAGACCGCAGTGCAGGTTCTCAAGTTAGAGGAAGCCTCAAGTTTTTGCTGCCACTTTTTTCGTTTGGTCTAAAACCGAGGAAAACTCTCTTCTATTCAGTTAACAAAAGACAGGAAGGACAGTCCAAGTGAAATCTACAAACAACTTTTTCTGTCTCAGTCTTTGAAAATTATAGTAAAAGGAGTTACTGTTCTTTTTTCAACAGACTAGAAAGACAACGTAGCAGACACTTGAAGAATGTTTTGAGATATTCTTTCGGTAACCACTTTACTAAGTATTTGGACAAGAAAGGATATTTTTCATTCTAGTTGTATTCAACATGTATGTATGTATAGTCTATTCATTTTGAATCATTGCTACAACTCTGCAATATTGCAAATTGACACCAAAAATAGCCTTCAAATGAAAAGCTTTTAGTTTTGAATTGTGTTAAAAGGTATCTTCGAAATATTTGAAAGATTGCACTAGTGTATTAATCAAATCATTCTCCTGCACACAAGTGCATATCATCAATGTCCAATTTCTATAAGAGTCAACAACTCCTCTTTCTTTCTCCTCTGAAAATACTTGCAGACAATACTGATATTTGATATTGTGGATTCTGCTAAGAGAAAACTTATTTTCAAAAAAGTTCAATTCAGTTCAATTGAGTCTATCCTATCGAATCTCTTCTCGTTTTTCATCATAGCATTTAAATCATAGTTGAATTGTCTCTTCCAAGTAGTCGACTATATAGTTGAGGTGTTTTCGAAGGTAAACATGACTGTTTAGGTTTAAAGGTTTTCACTGCCTTCTCTTGTACCATCAACTTTGAACTTTGTAAAAACCACAAATTGTGAACATAGATAAGAAAGCAAACTATATAAAACACAAAGCTGCTTTAGGGCATGAATAACTCCAAGAGGACTCTTATTTCTTCCAGTACGAAGAAAACAAAACTTTTAAAAGCTCTGCAAATTCAAGGAAAGATTTGTTCCGCTGCAGTTGTCTCCTACTCTTTTCCACTCTCTCATCCATCAGTTCGTTGAATAAGTGAGTCATAATACAAAAGTTATTCGTGTTAGACACTAGGCAGAAGACTTTTGCCAAATATAAACAGATGGATACAATGGTGGAGGCTTCTCCTTAGATATTTGTAACAAGAATCAAAGACAACTCAAAGTTTTGTATAAACAAACTGTCTATAAATACAAAAAACGTTCATTTCCATTTGGGACAAGTCAAACATAAAGAAGAAAAGATATAGTTTTATCCAAATTGCTCTAAAAAGAAGGAAAATGTCTCTTTCAACTTTGTATTATTCAGCAGAATAAAATTGTGCAGAGTCAAATTGATATTGTGATTGTGATTATCCAAACTGGTAAAGGTCTTACTCTCTTAAATATATTAGATAAATTTCGTCTACTAGTGAAAAGAAAAGAATATAAACGTAGAAATTATGGAAAAATAAGAATCTTTCATTCTCCTCTTTGCAAAGTAAAAAAGAAAGGTGAATCTTGAAACATAAGTGCAAGGAGAAGCAAAAGCATCACCACTTTTACTCTCATACCAGTAAAAACTCTCTAGAAGTTGTTTATGAAGAGAACAAACCAAGACCCTTGTAACTTTGGAGGCTCGATCCTCCTTGACGTACGTAGTTTATGTACGAATTTGTGTATAGACAAAAGTATTCCCAACCTTCGGTCAGTTTTTTACTATTGTCCTGTCCTCTGTATACTTTCCAATTCTACAGTTGAATATACGATTTCGTCTTCTTTATAACTCGTAATCGAACAAAGATTGTTCCTTGAGCGTATTTGCTTGGAAGGGAAGATTATAGTTCTCACAATGCAAGCCAAACAGAGTTAATGTCATTGAAATTAGAAAATGATCACTTTACACCTTCAAGGACTTTTCCTAAATTTTGAGTGACCAACAAAGAAAGGTTCTCAGATCGAGAACGAGTCAAAAACTAGTTGTAGCAAAACCGTTCTTGATTTGTTATCAAAATAGGGTCACAAGTAGTTTGAAATTTACCTTGCAGAGACAAGATTGATCAAACTCAACTCTGTTAAAAGGCTACAGTGTCGCTAGGGAGTTGCGAGGACCTTTGTTACGACACTGTTCTTCTCGTTTCACAACAGTACTGAGATGTGAGATTGATTGTATCTAGCACACTTATTGTTCCAGAAACTTTTTACATATCTCCAAGTGGAATATTTTCTTTCATAAAACTCACTAGTCACTTAAAATAATATATCTCCAGTGAAAGGAGACAATACAAAGCAATCCTTCTCATAACAATCCAATTAGAAATGAGCACAATGGTTTGATTGTTGGATAAAGGGGAAGGCTC